CGCAGCTGGAGATGGCCGTACGTTTAGGAAGCGGCGTGCGAGCGGATATGCGACGGCAGCCCTGTCCAAGCGTGTAAGAGCAGCGGGTATCAATTGATACCGCAAATCGAGGATGGCTGCTGTCACACGCTTGGACAGGGCCGCCGTCGCATAGCCGCTCGCACGCGGCTTCCTAAACGTACGGCCGTCTCCAACTGCGAGCCGGCGCGCAAGTCGAAGTATGTAAGCAGCCTGTCGACGCCGTCATCGGTGCAGCCCGTCAATCGATATATCGCAGGCGCTAATGTGTCATGTAGCATTGACCGCCTTTTTGGGTGTTCAAAACGTCAAAAACATGCGTTCGTAGGTGGGAAATCCTAGCTCGAGCCACATGGTTGGTCATCGATCACATAACATGAAATTAAAATTTATGCATTAACATTAATGGTTAATTATTTAATTAGCCAGAAACAAAAGCAGTCAAAAACCATAAAAAGCACTATTGTACTGAAGGAGTTTACAAGCACCTAGTTGACCTTGTTAATATATAAAACTAGCAAATCCCTGTATTCAAGAATAGTTTGTTGCAGCAAAATTACTTCCGTGCGCGATATCGATCGACGGCAGGCGCCGACGATGGGTCAGCGCCTGTAGTATAAATGCAATCGTTTTGATCAGTGATTGATCCCTAAACTAGGCGTAAAGTAGGGACGCCGACTACCGCTTTTACCTTCGTCCAGTTTTGAAATTTAATTGGCATTAGCAATTGATTAAGCATTGTTCTTTACATCGCGTCATAAATATAAAAATTTAGAATAGCACGCATTGCATTGCACCTCGACCACCCATATGGGCAATCGCACAATTGTGTACATCAGTTCACTGAAAATTTTTCATTAGCCACATAGTATCATTTTTGGCCCCTGTAAAATCATGGTGCAGTATGGCATGACTACTACTATCAGGAGCTGTAGCGAAGGGATGGGAGGGGGGGTGGGGGCAACGGGTAGGGGTTTGGGCTTGAGTTCGTTGAAAAAAAAAGAGGAAGAAAACAAGAAAAAGAAAAATTATCGTCCAAAATGACATACCTCCTTCTCCATGGTTGCTGGGGGTTGAGGTAGTTGTCACTGTCAACACTGAAACACTGAGTATTAGGCAATGAATGGTGTTGAAGACGTCGGTTAAGCAAATTAGTGCACGAAATACAGGGGAATCGGATAAATCGAACTGCAAAGTAGAAGAGAATGGTCCAAAGTGCTGCTAGTAAGTCTGGAGATTCGGTAGATCATGAATTTGCAGAGAAACTTCAAAAAGAGTGAATCAGATGGAAAGAATCGACCGACGTTCAGACCTTCCTTCACCTGGCCGTCTATGAAGTGTGTAATGAACGTCGAAAAACCAGTTTTCGTAGGTGCCCTTATCTCCATCTACGTGTCATTTTAGGTCTTTCAAATCGATCAGTTTGTTTTTGAACAGGTGGAGAACACCACATCATTGACTACTATCTACCTAAATATCCCCATTCATTAAGATTTATTCTAAAATGTTGTTTTAAGAGGGCGTTGAAGGACTTGAGCGAGGTTACGAAGGGAGGAATGTTCTATGAGCGGAATCTTCGAGCAATAACCGAGAAAGGAAGCAACGGAATCGACGGATTGTTCATTGAGAAAGCTTTTGCAAAAGACTGATACACTCTGTTTTTGGGCACGTCCTCAGTGGCTGTAGTCAAGCAGAATGATCGAAGTCCTTTTGGGAATCCCAGCCCCCACTCGTCAACTTATCAATCATGGTCACTTTTTACAAAACCTGAAAACGAAGTATAACTTTTCATCAGCAATTCGGAGCGTATGCACATAGTACAGCTTGCTATAGGATTAATTCCTTTAGAGACATTAAATGAAATTGGCTGAGCAGATTTTGTGGTAGGGAAAAACCTAGGGTTTCTGAGCAGCCCATACGTAGCGTTGCTATGGCAAGGAACGAGGTTAGAAAAATCGTGAGGATGCTTTGTTCTGCTGCCAATGGCCCATCTTGGATGCATCATCATAAACAAGCAAATAAACAAATAAACAAATGCCCTATGGGTAATTTGCTTCCTGAGGAACCGATCGTAGCGCTGCTATGGCAAGGAACTGGGTTAGAAATAACGTAAGGTAGTTCTTGTTCTGCTGCCAAAGGCCCACCTTGGATGCATCATAATAAACAAGCAAATAAACAAATAAATAAATGCTCTATGGGTAATTTGCTTACTGAGAAACCGATACGTAACGTTGCTATGGCAAGGAACAGGGTTACAAATAACGTAAGGTAGATCTTGTTCTGCTACCAAAGGCATACCTTGGATGCATCATGATAAACAAGCAAATAAACAAATAACCAAATGCCCTATGGGTGCTTTGGTTTCTGAGGATCCGATATCTAGCGTTGCTATGGCAAAGAAGAAGGTTAGACGAAATAACGTAAGGAAGCTCTTGTTCTGCTATCAAAGGCCCTCAATGAATGCATCGAATCAAAGGAATAAATAAACGAATAAATAAATACATTATGGATAATTGTTGTATAGACTGCATTATGTTATACTGGAGCTCTAAAGAGGAATATAGAAAACTCAATTCATTGATATTTGAGGGTGACGTCTACCTATGAGAGTGGAGCATGCATGTCCCTTGTGTAGGGACGGCCTCATCCATGGATAAGCGTTTATACTAAAAAAACACTTTGTGGAAGGATTTATGCTAATTGATTCGGATTTCAGTTGCATAAATTTGCCACTAGAAAATAGGCACACTTAAGTAAAACAAAATTGTAGATATTTGAAGGAAAAGATGGTGGCTCGTGGTCAAGTTCTGAGAGAAGCTCTCCAGAATAAGAATTGATTTTGGTCCAAAGGTGAAGCGAAAGTGATGATATTCTAACCCCACCTACTTTCATAATCTGTTCCTGTCGTATGAAGAAAATAATGAAATCATTCGGTTATTTTCCCCTTACCTCGGACAGGGTAGCTAAAGGTTGGTAACAGTAGGACAGCTGTGAGTGAACAGAGACTGTGCGAAAAGTGGGTTTTTCTGCCGTATTCTGCCAATTTATTTGCAGAGGGCAACCCACAGTTCCGAACTACGTCAACGAACAAAGAACATAGACGCTGCTGCGTAGGGCAAGAGACCCAAGTTGGGGAGGCCCGGACACGTCAGTCGATTATGTGTTGACCGTTAGACCAGTGAACCGAAGGGTCTCTCGGAACCTTGAACAAACACCGGGACGGTGGCTAACGCGGACGCCGATGGCCACATAACTACACGGAAGTTCTGGTTGAAAGGAGTGCTATGCCTCGTCTCCGTCGAGCGAGTACGATTCACAAGACTGCTCTAGCTCGCGACATGGACGAATAGAGGCATAACGGGCGCCTGCGCGAGAAAATCGATGATCAACAGGACCGTGGCACAGGTGGTTTTTCTGGTTATTAACCCTCTGACTACCATGGAACCCGCCGGTGGGTACCACTATGACTGGAGCGTGGGACCATGGCACCCGATGTTGGGTGACACCATGTTTTTTCTTTTATTTGCACATTTAAAACTCATTTAATACTCTCATGTTTATTTACAAACTTCATGGTATTTATTTATATTCAACATGGTCCACGTGAATGTTTTATAGTAGCTTATTTATTACAAACATATACAGTCAATAGAGTAGTACTGAAAATGTTTAGATACTTTCGCAAGATTTGTTTGTGTCCTGGAAGCATTGGAGGCAGTACTTGGAATACCTGATATGCGATTAAGTGACCGGCGGGCAATCCCTTCATCTTCAAGTTCCTTCGAATACCCACTGCAGACGCTATCACCAAAATTCTAACTTACATTGCTTCCAAACTCGAAGGCCAATTCTAAGCCTCTGTTGAATATGAAATAAAATAAGATCTAATGCTTCTGTCGTGCGGAAATATTGCTGAGTTCATTAAGCCAGGGAAAGGAGTTCCTCCTAGCACCAGTCGCGCACTAAAGGAAGTGGGCATCATCCCCATGGGCGCGTCACGTCGAAATCGGCATTGTCGTCAAAGGGTTAATAGTGCTTGTTTTGATTCGTTAAAATTTTTACAAAGAAAGTACTATTACGTGCGAAGAATCCATACAGCTGTTGTAGCCTAGCCATAATTTCATAACCGGGACTTCCAGAAAACTCTAAAATCCAGAAAGAATTTGGCCAAAGTGGTTCATAGGCTTCATCAATTGTAGTGACCAAGGTGTGTTGATTTTTACATTTCTGTTTCCGAGTAAGTTGTATGTGTATGCTTAAATTTGTCCACTTGAAGTATTAAAAGAATGCTTACCGTCGTTTTTCTCTATCTCTGCACACATCTTAATTTCTATTCAATGAATGGATTTCTAGTCACTTCACGTTTCCTTTTCATCATTTTACTTTTTTTCATCAAAGCCAATCTCCTTCATTCATTCCTGGCTATGTTTTTCTTCTTTCGAATGTGATTTATCTATAGCCTTATCTAACGCGGCTGATTGGTTTGAACAATAGGGGACAAACCTGTTGTGTAGATGGCGGAATGAAGCGCAACCGCTTCATGCAGAGGAATGTTCAGGAGATTTATGTAATCCAAGGGATAGCAAGACCTGATTTTCAGGTTGTTTTTTTCCCTAGGGAAGCAAATATTCCATGAGAGTCGGTTGCAAGTCAATCATAGCATGTAGTGCATTCCCTGACCCTTCAATCCCCTGATGAAACAGGCTCCTGCGATTATTTTTGGAACTGTATGAAATTTTGAATATTCATTAAATATGCATAGAGGGCTTCGGGGCAGGGCACCGAGGACCCTTTTTTGAAGGGAATTCTTCTTCCTTTGGGGAGGATTCGGGATCGAAACAATCTTTTTCTGGCAAAAAAAGTATTACTATTATTATCGGTGGTGGTACGAATTTGAGAAAAACATCAATTACGGGATCTCACTGAAACAGCCCCGTAGGACTTAATATATAGGAGACTGTAATTTTCCCCTAATTCTTCAATAAGGGAACATTTAACAGTCACATTTTCCATTTTAAGAATAAACCGATTGAAATGCTGGAGAAGTTTGCAAAATAATTTTTATTATCCGGCGAATTTTTAATAGCCTGGAGCAAGACGAGCTGGAGGACAGTGGTCGCAACTGCCAGGGGAGCCATTGTCTCCAGAGCCTCCAGGAGCTCCAGCTGGTCCGGGTGGTCCGGGTGGTCCTCTTTGACCTCAAATAAAAAACTGTTCAAATGGGAAATAATGAAGTAGTTGTGCGAGAACTCACCGGGCTCTCCAGGGCTTCCAGCTGTTCCATTGTCTCCATCTCTTCCGGGGGCTCCAGCTTTTCCCGGTGGTCCAGGAGCTCCTGGTCGACCAGGTGGTCCAGGAGGACCAGCTGGAGCAGGTCCACCAGGCACAAGTTGTCCAGGCTCTCCTGGAGGTCCGCGCTGTCCAGGTTGACCGGGTTGTCCAGGAGGTCCAGGTGGTCCGGCAGCACCCTGTGGGCCTGGAGCTCCATCTCCGCCGTTACCACCAGGCTGTCCGGGAGCTCCATCTTGTCCGGGGGGTCCAGGTGGTCCAGCAACACCAGGTGCAGCTTGACATGGGCACTGAGGTGGAACAGGCAGGAGTCGATCGTGCAACTCGGCATCCGGTCCGGGAGGTCCAGGTTCACCAGGTCCGGCTCCTGGTTGTCCATCCTTGCCATCAGGTCCTGGTGCACCATCTGGGCCGGGTGGACCTTGTTGGCAGGTGCAGCACTGAGCTTCAGCCTGACGAGTGGAACGGAGAAGAATGTCCAGAGGATCTTCTCCATTTTCCGGGGAAACCTCTACCATTTCACGCCACATGTCTCTTGAGCGAGATTTGCAGTACTCAACTTCTCCCTAAACATAGTCATTCATGTACTATTTCTAGAGCTTATTTACGATGCTGTAACTTACCTGTACAGTTGCCTGCAGGGTTTGAACATAGTGGAACACGAGTGGGAAAGTGATCAAACAAGCGGAAACGGCCACCGTCGAAAAAACGACAGCAGCAAAAGCTACACCCCTGAGAGAATCCTTCTTCTCCTCCATTTTCTGAAAGAAGTTTAAATTATTGCTAGAAGGGATAGCTAATGAAGGACTTGTGATTGAAGGAAAACCATTGGGCGAAAAGGAGAAGAAGAAATCGGATCGATTCACTATGGAAGGAATATGCAAATGGATTTCTATGGAGGGAAGTGTATAATGAGACGACTCTACGGGGGCTATTAGGAACTCTGACATGGAGCTAGAGAGGCCCGATGAGACCGGTTCCGTCACGTACAATCCTTCTAAGCGCCTAATGTCTTTACAAAAACTGGACACTTCGAAAGAAGTGCTAACGACTTCTTTACAATCGCTCTTCCTTGTCTAAAGTTCTGCTTCGGCTCATTAGTAAGACCAAATCAGGTTTCTGGATGCTGAGCTCTTTTTCTGGAAGTAGTAATACTTTACCAGGGCCTAAATGTGGTGGTGCAAGAACTAAGCTCCGCCTGCTTTCAAAATAGTTTAGAAATCACTTATCAGAGAGTTATTGAAACAGTTCATACTGTAGAACACCTACAGTAGACCAGCAAAATTTTGGCAGCGATTGTCCGTATTGAACTGAAGAAATTCGAATGCCTTTAGAATCGCACGGTCAAGAAATATTAACTGGGAACTAAGTAAGACCACATCCTAAGGATAGTTGACACTGGCATATGAGACCCGAATCCTAATGGGCTTCCTGCTTCAAGCCACAGACAAAATTTAACTTAGTAGAAAGGGTTTTGTTAAGAGGTGAAAAATTGGAGGAATACAGGAATGGCAGAATGACAGGAAGGGTAAATGCCTAGGTGGGTCTGGGTGTATGTGAGAAACATTGACTGGGGAAGCTGACGGCGAACATTTAGGCAGGCGCCGGGGGGACTAGCTTATATGCGGTTGTGGAGGTGGAACGAAACACCATCGCGTACACGTAAAGAAACAACATGACTGGGCGATCGTACTGTGTAAGACGGAATGGAATGAAGACTTGATGAGTATAATTTGAAATTATGGCTACAGTAATGTTGCAAATCAAGTAGTAGGTAGATCGGAATGACCTTTCCCTGATTGATTGCCAAGGAGCGTCAAAGCAAGTGACAATCAACAAACAAACAGCCAACTTGAATGGTCGTTTTGCAGAAGTTCTTCTCAAAACACGCAATCAGGCTGCTGTGCTGATTGAAAATTGCTACCCTGTTTCGGTCGTCCACAACTCTATTTTATGCCCGAAGGGAAAGGGTCCCTGGAGCTATCAACTCACCTAGGAGGGTCTGGAATCCGCCTTGAATATCTCAAGGACTACAAATGGAATTCGAAGGTTAAGGGAAGCGACCACGAGTGGTCCTGAAAAAGGGTTGACGGGATGTGACCAAGAAAGGCTGCGACGAAATCAAGCTTGAAGCCGAAAATGCCGCTGACAGAAGGGAATGGCGACGAGTGACAGGAATAGTGGACCCTGCGACGGCGCGGGTTGAACCCTTGGGAGGAAAAAGGAAAAGATTTGGGAATAAGTTTTGAGTAGGTTCTCAACGCTGTACGAGATTAAGGCAAATAGCAGCTTTTAAGGCTGAGCAGCTGACAATTTGACCTTTACTTTTTGACTTTTTAACCTATGTACTCCATCTGGAGAGCTACAACATACTGCTTCTGCCCGCTGAGTCTGTACCACGGGAAAAAGGCGCACACGTCCAGAGCTGGGGGATCCATAAAAGGAATGAAAAAATGGGAAAACGGATCCCGAGTCTTCGAAACTTAGCGCATTATCTAATTCGGATCTCATTTGAGACAAAATTCACGAACGGACATCTACACGAAAAAGGAAGGCCTCATCAGATCTGGAGGTAACTAACTCAAGAATGAAGGTCAGCTCTACCTTTTTGCTCGCTCCTTTGTACAGCATCGTGATGAGACCGGAACTCTTCTGTGAATTCAATAGTCAGTGATCTAAATGAACAAACGGAGAAAAGAGGAATTTCCTAATTGTGATTCAAGGAAAAACGGTTTCCTTTGGGAGCAGTAGATCCTTAGAGTCGATTGCGCAGGGAGCAAAATCATTTTAGGAAAAAGTTCGTAAATGCTTCTGCATTCAAATCCAATCTGATGGGAAGTGGTAATTGAGATGGAAAAATTCGTAAGACGGATAAATCGCTTGGCATTGATCAACTCTATAGATCGGTGTGCGGCTTGGAATCAAGCAATTCAAAATCGTAGCTTTTTTCGGGAGCATATCCACCCAAAATCATAACATAGATAATGATTTCATACTAACGCTAGGTCCCAGGGAGACGGGCGTTAGGAACGATTTTGGGTAGTCGATTCGCCGCACGCGGCTGTCGCGGACCACTCATTCGCCGTTATTACAGCTCTAACGTTCTTCATACAGCTCAATCGATATGCGATCATTATTTTNTATTTCTTACCTACTGCTGCATCCTGCTACATTCCTTCGAGCGCGACGCCACTCTCACCGCGACGCGACAATTTCGTTCCTAACGCACCACACCCTAGGTCCCAGCCCTTTTCTGGACCAAACAACCCTGAATACTACGCACCGATCTCTTGGGAGGGTATTGTTGACTTCAGCGGACATCAGCGGTTAGCTTGTTCCTTCGAACTCAAGAGTGACACTTGATGACCACGACTTATGCTTCTCGCATCTCTACTAGATTTTCTCGGTCTTGTAGGAGTGACACTTCCACAGAAATCTGGTATGGAAGTCTGTTCGGTTTTCAGATATCATTGCTTCAACCAATACACCATAATAAAACAGTTGAAATGATATTTTCAAAAACATCTCTTACTTTTTGATTTTCTTGAATAAAATTGATATAAGGGTCGATCCAGAACCGGAAAGGTGCCATCGGCCAAATGGAAGCGTTTTTCTATTCGAATGCGCATTTGAAGGAGGTTGCATTTCAAGACAGCTTTTTGAGTATCAATTGCAGCAGGAACGTAACTCAATGGAATTACAATGGTGCGACTCCGATACTACTATTCTACTGAAGAAGTAGTACCTCTCAAAGTCTTTGGGCATAATCAATGCCATCTGAGGGATGCGCCCTATACAATGGTACTGTGACGAGCCGATGTAAAAATTAGTGCTTTCAAAATTAGTACCTCCCAGACGAGTCTGGTACCAATTAACCGACCCGCAGGAATGGAAAGCTTAGTTGTTCTGGACGGGTAACTCGGGAATACCGGGCCATGCGTCTGATATTACCGAGTTACCCGTCTAGGGCAACTGATGCGTCACTTGTCACTACCAGATTACCCTTTTTCCTTCACTGAGCATGGCAAAGGTGACCAAGGGATCAGAAATATTGCTGGTCTCAAGGTCAAGGTTGAACCTAACCTTTTGGTGGTCCTAAGGTGTGGAGAAATCAGAAGGAGAGGTCAATAATACATCAAATCTTTATTAGTTGAAGAAGGATGAGAATCCCATGGACAGAGCTTGATGGGAGCCCCGGCGGAACAGAATTAAAGCGAATGGCTAAGTCACGTTTGTCAAGGATCACGCTGGGAAAATGATGTTTAGCACTGTAAAGAGCTGGTTTAAAAACGTCTGCGAAGGCGGTTTGCACTGATTCAATCGCGATCTCTAGGCTGTTGCTGTTCCAACAGACTCAACGAAATCCTCGGGAAAACGTTAGAGAGCTACTACATTGTGTGCTGTCGAAGTAAACTCCGAATGAGAGTCTGTTGATGCTACAAACGCATTCTCTTCGAAAGGACCAGAATCTTTCTGCTGAAGTTCCTGAGCTCCTTTCTCATTCCAGACTGCCGTCATTTTTGCTCCCACCTTGAAGATAGGATCATTTCCCCCCTATCTTATATAAAAGCCCTATACTCAGTGCACTGTTGAGGACTGGGAGGCGAGGGCTTGAGCCCCTGAAGGCACAGTTGCTCTAAAGATCTCCTCCAGGCGCTAGATGTTCACTGCCCCAGTGCATGCCCCCAATGGAAACGTTCAGTGTTGGATCCTACTTTGCAGTGATATTTTTTGGCTCTGAGTGCGGTCAAGTTGGATTGGCCTAGGTCGAGTCTTCGTTGAGAACTCTCATTTGAGAGGCTACTACAGGGTGTGAAGGGCGTTTCCAATGTATGACCTAGCGAAATGGGCCGAATTTCAGTGAAGTTGCTGATCTTGACACATCCACCTGCCTGTGTCCCAGGCAAAACATCTCCCTCTCTAGGACTTCTTGAAATGCAACTGTTATTTTTGGCAAATTCCAATGACAACGCCACCTCATTACTTTTACGACCACCATAGTAACCTGTTTCCATTGTTTTACTCTGCTGAACCTGCCGGAACTTTGATTTGAACTCGTTCTCAAGTTATTGATGCATTTGCAATGAAGCCGCTTCCATCACATCAATGTGAAGACCGACATTAATCAATCCCTTTTCTGGATGCGCCCCAAATTCGACTTTCACTAAGAAACGTGTGGCGACTTGAATGCGTATGTGGCCTATACAATCAATTGGGTGGCCAGTCGACCTATAAGCCTGTGCTTTGATTTTCCTAGACGAATCTAGCACTGAGGAATGGAAAGCACAAGACACATTTTGGCTTTCAACGAATTTGTGACGCAGTAATCCGAGCTGCTACCCAGTTGTGCTGTTTGAATAAAGCGCAGACGGTAAAACCTTTAAAACTGCTGCTTTATAGCTCTAGGTCTTCGTAACTACTATAACCCTACCACTGTCCCGTAATCTCTGGTAAGTTGAACGGCGTTGCACCTAGTTAGTAGTTGGATCAGAGACGGCGTGGAAATCCCAGGTGTCATAAACTGTTGAATTTTCCCAAAAATCTCTGAAAATGAGATTTTTCTGAGTTTCGTAGAAATTTTGAATGTATTCTTTCTCCCCATGTCTCACACATCATCTGCCGAGAGCCGCTACACGCGGGGAACTGCTTTCAGGCGCCATCACCGTTTACTTGGAGCCTCACCGTCACTTGCGATGCTTACCTCTCTGGAAGGTTGTTAGTGTAACTCGTTTGCTCTTTGAAGTTTTTTTTTTGTTGCCATCGTTTAAACCCATTTGAGATTTCATTTAATCACTGCTCTGTTTCAGATGAAAGCTTTTATGGGTCCGTGTTATATTGTTGTTATTGTTTGATCTATAATATAAACACAAAAAACAACAATAAATAATGAACCCCAACATTTCCGGTTGTTTTGATAGGATCCGATGTGTTCTATGTAGTAACTGATTGTTGACTGATTGTTTGCAACTATGTATTGTAAAGTTAAGGTCTGAAGAAGGTATTATATGCCGAAGGCTAACCAATAAAGTGGAGTATCAAGAGCTTCGAAAATACACATGAAAAGCTCAGAGATAGCAGCATTTTGAAAAAGTCTTGTTATTGTTTGATCGGTAATATAACACAAAAAAAAACAATAAAAAATCACGAATGCGCAAAAAAACTTGCGAAATGAGCGCGGGACACATGTGTCCCTCGTTGTCGCGCGTGGTCGGCAAAACGCGGGACATATGGTCCTGCGTTGTCGTCAACGTGTCAATGGGAGACGGGCGTTAGGAACGATCTTGGGTAATCGATTCGCCGCACGCGGCTGTCGCGGACCACTCATTCGCCGTTATTACAGCTCTAGCGTTCTTCATACAGCTCAGTCGATATGCGATCATTATTTTATGCATAATTCTACCATTAGTACTTTTGTTCTTGTATTTCTTATCTACTGCTGCATCCTGCTACATTCCTTCGCGCGCGACGCCCCTCTCACCGCGACGCGACCACTTCGTTCCTAACGCACCACACCCCGAGTCAATCACTGCTCTATTTCAGCTTTTAGCTTTTATGAACCTTTTGAAAGCTTACACGCGCCCTGCATGGCTCATATCAAAACCGTATTGGATCTATGCCCATCCTGCCGACGGGCGACAGGAGGAACATCATGATGATGTAAAAACGTCACGATGTGCTGTTAGAGCAAAGACTAAGGAACAATGCCAGATGTGGGCTAGCAGAAAGACAAAAAGTCTGCCACGTACGTTAGTCATTCAGCCTGTACCCCTCATTACTTACAGCACTGCATGGGATTTGATTCTGAAAGCATTGTAGTTCCGGAAATGGCCAGTGATAGAAAGTTTGACGTATGTTTTTGATCTCTTTACATATGTCAACAGAATGCTGTTATGATACTACCCGAAATTCATGTTGAGTAGTGATAGAAAGTTTGACGTATGTTTTTGATCTCTTTACATATGTCAACAGAATGCTGTTATGATACTACCCGAAATTCATGTTGAGTTGAAAGTACAGTTCAAGCTTCTATTTTTATTGCTCCACTATAAACTGTTTTCTGAGAAAAAATTCATCTCCGTGAGATTATCCTCCTCTTCAAATCAGGAGAAGGTCCATCTCCTTGCCATTGCATTTTTTGCAATCATAGATTCTGCAGATCTTCAGATAGTCGTTCGGTGAGGCATCATTGAGGTTACCGATCAGATCCTGAAGTAAAATGGTCTCAACTTCTATTAGACCAACACATTGTCGAGATATATGGTCACAAGGGTACAACTCGTTGCTTTTGTTGCTAATGCTGAGATGCAGTGGATATGGATATACGCGCTAGCCTACGAAAGATTGTTGGTGAGAGACTTCATCTGTAATTTTTCCTGGCGAACGGTCTATGTTCCCTATGGAGTCTGTAGTTTTCGGGGATAAAAATACGACAAGTAGTCATCAGTGGAAAAGAGTTGGGTAGATCCTGCAAAGCGGTTTTCTTCAGCACGCGCTCAGTCGATCGCTGGTGACAGCCGAATTTATGGTGTCGCCTTGACTTATCTGTAGCATTCGACCATTTAACTTTTAATTTGCTTACAGATTTGGAACGCCAAACCCTCGACTCAGCGCAAACCCCCGACACTAAATTCATTCGAAGAGCCGAGCGAAACTTCGAATTGAGAGATTTTTGGATTCTGAAGATGTCAAGAAATCGCAATTCAAATCGTTGCCTAACCATCCTCGAAACATTTATGTAAAAATTCTGAGGAAAAGTGTGAATAAAAGGCAAATCACCTGGTATTTCGGATCTTTAGTCCGTATGCTGATTTTGGACGGCTTTGCGAAGGCCTTCTTATTGTAGTGCATCACAGATTTGTAATCGTACGGTACATGGTAAGTACTTGCATAGTAAGGATTGACTTTCCCGAATTGAATGTGATATTCTGAACATTTCTCAGAAAAAGTGCCGACTTTAAAAAGTAAACAAAAATGAAACAATTGACATTCATGTATGTGGGGCTCGCTTCGAAGTACTCTCAATATTGGGATAACCTGCCCGACTAAGGTTAATAATGTTTCTCGCTTAGAAGGGACCTATTTTATTGTGCACTGAAAAGTCTTGTGCGTCATTGACTGAGTTAAGATTGTTCGCTAAGTTGACTTGAAGTAATAAAATTAGTTCCAGCATAAGGATGTTACAGGGCTGCGGCCAAACCAGTTCCAAGAAACTCCCACATTCTTTTTGGAGACCCATACCCCTTTTGCTGAGACCCTCCCTCATATTATCGTTCCTACAATTCGATAAGTGAGCTATTAATCCATGGAACATGCCGCACGAGACATTGCTCGTAGTTTACAAGTACAGTTCTCAATGTTTTCCCGAGGACCGACTAACCTTCCTGGATATTGCCATAAAGAATTTCAATGTAGCTATCACGATCGTATCTCATATGTTCATGCCATAGACCGCAAAGGTGCAGCAACTCATGTAAAACGGTTCTCGGTGCCATGCATCTGAAGCATCATAATTAGTAGGAAATCTACCTCTGAAAACAGCCTACATCACTTAGTTTGCGGAAGCCTCGGAGGCTTGGCCCTTAGAAGATGCACTTACGTATTTGCATTGCTAGATTCGAGTTGCAAAACGTTACGGCCTACTTGACGTCCGACGTTCGTGTAGCAACTAAAATCATCAGTTCCCTTTTCTGCGTTGTCATGGCGCCCAGACACTTACCCCTGATCCCGTTCGTTGACGATATCTATGTAGTCCTCTTCATAGGTACGTTTCCTGAACCGAATGCATGTGTTGTCCATGATTCGCTGCATAGCGTTAGCAATAAGTTCTTGTTCGGATTGACCTTCAAGTACATTGGTTTCCACAAAAATCACTCGCACAAGTTCAATCTGACCATCTAGAAGTATGTGTTCTAGATCCCTCTACAATAGCCCTACTAGATCTTACAAAATGCTTACTGTACGGTCCAGTAATAGTGTACGGTATGACGGTGTTACCATATTTGTCAGTAATGTTCCATTTTAAGTCCTCCCACCAGATGGCGTTGTAGGCTCTTCTAGAATGGGAGTATCACTGATCGTTGTAGATGAAATGGACGGCAAGCTGCCTCATAGCCATTGAAACATACGTGTCATTCTTTCGTAGATTCCAGAGTTGCACTATGTCTCCTTTTCCGTTGTTATCGAATATGTCCACCGGTTCTGTCTGAAGTATCTCATTGGAAGTTACAGGATTTCCACTTGATTTGTGATTTTTGTGCAATGCTTTATCTGTTACCAACACTTCAAAACGTTTCTCATGATTCTAATCTGTAAGAATTAGGAGGAGGTGAGTTTGCTGAAATGACGCTACCTTTCCTTTATTCACTTGTGGCTTCTCATAGCATTAACCAATCAAGCTAGTTTGGAACATTCCCGAAGAAATTTCTCGAAAAAGATATATTTTGAGAATAAGACCAAGAGCATCTAGCTGGAATAGTTAATTAGTCAAAAGGATACTTCTTCATTAAAATGACTGCAAAAAGTGCTTCTATTGCAGGGAATCCGTGACTATTGAGAAGGCAACGCGGCTTTGTCTGTTCGAATAGAGACGTACATACAGTAGCGCTCAAAAGTCTTCGGCCAAACCTTTCTGGCACTCATTCGGGCATAACTTTTTTGGAGTAAGTGTGGAGCAAATCGCGCGAAATTTTGATATGTCTAACTAAGGAATATTTCTTGCTATTCAACACTGTTTGACTGCAAAGGGGCCATATCCACATCACTAAGAGCAAGGTGTTTGTTACGGTAGCAGACTTGGCTAAAAGCAAAGTTAGTGACGACCGCAGTCATTTGCACCCTATATGCGTTTTTCTCATCTACTGTGTTCGGCATTAACGCTCGTACACTTTAGACATGGCAAAAAGGAAAGGAATTCTAGAAGGACCATCTTCCGCATTTGCAGCTGAGTTTGAGTTCAAGCTCTTTGGGATATCTGGAACATGATCAGATTGCAGGTTAATAGTGGTAAGTATTCACAATTCACCCACAATGCTACATATATTGAAATTTCGCGTGATTATATCCAGTAGGAAAGGAGTTACGACTGAAACGTGCAACTGAAGAAGCATTTGGTAGATGACTTACTTTTGAACGCTACGGTATGTACATAGGATGCAATAGGAGCTCAAAACCGCTGCGGCGCGCTACTGTTGTCTAATACTGGCCAGAAGGGACGTTTCTATCGGCCCTGTAGAGGCCGATTCCATCCAAATGGGACATGTTTGTTGTGAGTGCTGTCAGCTGATACACACACACGTCAGTTGACGCACTTTGCTCTCCAGCTACTGAAATCTCACCCAACCACCCCTTCATCATTGTCACCTTTTACAACCACAGAAATTCGAACATTAGTTTGAACGGTTCGAAAACTTCCTATATCCCTGAAATTCTGTTTGTTTTTCTGTCTCCTTCTTCATCGATAAACTCTTCTGCATAAACACTTGCCCTGGCACTCATGTCCCAAGTTCTGCGCCAATTATTCAGTATGCTAAAATAATTACGGTATGACACCAACTTCCGTCGAAACCGCTGGAACAACCTCAAAGAAGGCGAGAATGTAGATCAGCATTGAAATTGTTGGGGAGAACATCTGCAATTTGTTCACGGTTAAGCGCATGGGATGAATGTAGTGAAGACGACAACATATATGAACTGGAAAGCAATCTTCCAGCACTTTACTAGTGCGATCCGTTATGTAGCGGAACTAAGCTGAGAACTGGCGCCCAGTTTTTCAGATTCTACAGGTTTTCAGCAGATGAGTCTGCAGAGCTTAGTTCGTAAGGCTGCAAGAGAAAGGATAAAGGAGAAAGGTGATACCTAAACGATCATGATAGGAATGTGCTGTCTTCCGAAGTCACTCGTCCCTTAAATACTGGCTTNTCTTCCAGCGTTTTACTAGTGCGATCCGTTATGTAGCGGAACTAAGCTGAGAACTGGCGCCCAGTTTTTCAGATTCTACAGGTTTTCAGCAGATGAGTCTGCAGAGCTTAGTTCGTAAGGCTGCAAGAGAAAGGGTGAAGGAGAAAGGTGATACCTAAACGATCATGATAGAAACGTGCTGTCTTCCGAAGTCACTCGTCCCTTAAATACTGGCTTCAATACCACTCAGTTCAGTTCTCACAATATATAGGGCAATATCAAATAAGGGCCGTCGAAGGAGGACTTTCTATGACGGATCTATGCCCTATCGAATGAAGGCTCTTTCATGTCATGTTCAGCGTACTGACCAATAAGGGAAGAATACTAATTACTGGATTGCTAGATGGTTAGTTTACTGATATTTCTATAAACTACCTTGTTTGTGCATTATCCGTCCCGTTTACCTGTAGATAATAGGTGTGTGACATCTATAGACACTATTCCAGATCTTTCAGGTAGCTTGTCTATCCCTTTCTTCCAAACGCATGAGACCTGACCATTAAATAGAGTATAAAAAAGGATTTTGCTAAAATTTGCTAAAGTCAGCAGATATACAAACTGGGAAGAAGTTTCCTCTTATACAGGATCCTGCAAAAGGCTGATTTACTCCTGATCTGGAAATATCAGTAGTCAGTTGGTTCCGTTCTGCAGAACCTCTTTGCTAATGCACTTTCCAAAGTATGTCACTAGTTCTGGATTATTGGCAAAATGTTTGGAGAGAGTTCTCTAGAAGCCGTAATTGCTTCGGCGAAAAACTCGCGTCGAGGTCTCTTTTCGCATCATTTTGCTTGAAATGGTCGAATGATATCTATCTCCTATTCAAGGGAACATTCCCATATAATCTCCGATGTGTGTGCAGTTTACAGTTTAGCTCCCCAAATATTTGTCCTAGGCAACGTTTTTGATTGTTATAAAAGATCTCCTGTAGGCGCAGGAAAATTGATTTCATAACCTTGCACGAAATCTTGCTAAGCAATTATTTACCCTTCACACGGCCGCTATTCTAGCCATTTGTATGGCTGTATAAACATTTGCGAAAGTTACTAAACAGAACGCTTTTGTGTGTTTGTTTTTCATTATTAATCAGCTTATTAAGTAGCGATAAGTAGTTAGAAGTAGGTTTTACTCTTAAGCTTCGAAAAGCGCTCCTCAAGACACAATGCGGGACGTATGAGTCCCGGGGGGACGGAACTTACGTTCGCCCGAGGATGCGCGCGGCAAATTTCGCGGCGAAGTTCGTGGCGCAACCTCGGACGCACGTATGTACCCATACCCTGAGTCCCGCGATCAATGCGGCCGCAATACTGCGTCGGTCCCATGCCGCAAAAAATATCTAAGCGCGCGTTGTCGTCAATGTGTTAAGTCACGGCTCACGATAAAAATGGTTACTGAGTTCTTCCCTTAGGAATGCTCAGTGTCCCCCAATGGTAAGAGAAAGAACCCCAAAAACGCGACGGTTAGGGCATAGCGATGTTCCCGGCTCGCGCGAGAACACGGATTCCAATGGGCCGTCCCTTGATCGATGTCACGTGAGACGAGTATCGAGGGGATACAGATTGCAATTACCCTAAAATTCCATTGATAAGAGCGGTTGAAACTACCGGTGAAAAATGAATTGGAGTAAATTGAAGTTGAGTCACAATTGTAAAAAAAATTGAGAAAAAAATTGAAAATTGAGTCAGTCAATTGAGCAGTCACTCTCTACCTTGATGGCATCTTTCATAGTCCACGAGCGCGACTGGTCGTGGACTACGAAAGATGCCATGGATGGATAAATTAT